ATAAGAAATTAAAAGATAAAAGACATTAAATATAAAAAATATAAAGTAAAGAGTAAAAAATAAAAAATAATACATACTAAAGTGGTAGGTAAAGGGAAAACAAGGAAAAAAGGGGAAAATAAGTTCATCAGCTGGGACTCGAACCGGAATCCCGATGTAGGAGACGGATGTTCTAGCGATCAGGCCACTGCGCCGTTACGGGTATACCCATGGATTCACACGTACGTGATGTTAATCTGTATGCATCGCCATCCATTGATGAATAGAATTTTTATAAATTTTTAACTTTTTAACTTTTTTAACTTTTTGTTTCAGCCAGAACCACCTCCGAGACGTGCTGATTTTGAAAATATCTTTAGTTTTCCTCTAGGCTGCGGAGTTGTCTAGTTATGTGAGTACACACTAATTCGACTGAACAACTTTATATATATAGACAAGTTGGTAACGATGTGACGTGCACTCTACTGAGAAATATCGAAATGTAACAACTATATATAGGTAAGTAAATGCTGTTATCATAACTCTGTGTACTGTGTACGTTATCAACTTCAAATTACTGATTGGCTTTACTCTATGGTAAGATTTCAGCCTGACGCAGCAAAATACCACAAAATGGGCGCGCTTGTACACATACGAGTCGCATGATGTGATAACGGGTGTTCTTAAGCAGAAACGCAAGAGTTGTAAAACAAACAATGTCCAAATGTCGCTTTGCTTTTCCATTTTTTTCAGAGCGAGACGAAAAGAACAATTATTATTTGCAAGCGTGCCACGCCGCGGAAACGTGTCCCTATACACGCAGGCTTATAAATTTCGCATTTATTTTTGCGAAACAGCTCTTATCTATCTCGCCACTTTGTGAAATAACAGCGTATACGTGGTCACGCCATCCACGCACGTACGCACTCACGCACGCACGCACGCACACTTGCACCTCCGCGCGCACGCACGCACATTCACGCATGCCCTAACGCATGTCGGCACGCTTGCATGCACGCATGCACGCACGCACGCACGCACGCACGCACGCACGCACAGTTGCACCTACCCGAGCACGCTGGCACATTCACGCATG